CTGGCTTCTCCATTTCTCCAAAGGCAAGAATGCAGTATTTGGGGCCTAATCCAGGCCTTCCTTATCTTGCTGAAAACCCAGCCAAGCAAGCAACCTTTTCTAGATTCTTATTCAGACTTGCATATGCATTTTGCACTCTCCATCTTGTTAATTTTCCTCATTTTACATTTTAGCAAGTCGATTATCCGAATCTGAAGAAGGAAGAAAGGGTTTGTTTATCTGAATCTTAACCAACAAATGTTTGCAAGAGGAGAAATTGTGGAAAACAGAAACTTTAAGAAAGATGTCAACTTGAGATAGTTAAAAAGATATCTTGGACCAAGATGTGGAGAGAGTATTGTTGATAAAAAAAAGTAAAAAACTCTAGCTAGGCAGGGAAACATGATAAGATTACTAGCACATGATATCCACCAAAACCCAGCTTTACCAGAGCAAAGCAACAATCTGTATAAGCTTTATACCAAAAATGATTGCATTTATTGTCATTTGTGCTTGATCTATAACTACAGAAACAACCAATAGCTGAATTGGAGTCATAACTTTGAAAAACTTACTGGTTATTGCTTCCAATTTTTGTACAACTTCACAGTGACAATAAAAGATGTTTTCCTTTATATGTGCCAAAACTAAGGATTGACAACAAAACAAAACCCAGAACTGGATGATCTTATTACAACTTCATCTGTGCCAAAACTAAGGATTGACAACAAAACAAAACCCAGAACTGGATGATCTTATTACAACTTCATCTCTCTGTACTCTACTTGTCAAACTCCCAGACGACGCCTCCATCCTCTGCAAGAACACATCAAAAAGGAAACTTCAATAGTCAATCACACTGTCTATCTCTCATACACATCACAAAAAAAATGTTGTGTCAAAGGAAACTTCAATAGTCAATCACACTGTCTATCTCTCATACACATCACAAAAAAAATGTTGTGTCATAAGTTTTGTAGTTGAACTATCAATTTTGTGTCCAAGACATTTTTTAACATAAAAAAGTGTATCTAATAGGTCCCTTCATTATATTTGAATAATAAACTAATTGATCAATTAGATATAGAGTTGAATTTTATTTCTAAGAAGACTTTAAAGTTTCAATTTTATGTCTAGTAGGTTCTATTGGACACAAGATTGAAAGTTTAAATATCTATTCGACACTTTTAAAGGCCTTTTAAAGTTTTAGAAACCTATCAATATAAAGCTATGAATTCTGGATAAGGTTAATGATATTGGTAGGATTATGAAGCAAGACTATTAAGAACAAATTCAAAGCTTACTTTTAACTTTATCCTTAATCCATATCTCCACCAGCATCCCAGCTCCAATTCCACCTGCAATACACGCCCCATAGAATGCAAGGACCGAGGAAAGGGATCTTCTAGGAAGAAAATAATACTCCTGCAATACACGCCCCATAGAATGCAAGGACCGAGGAAAGGGATCTTCTAGGAAGAAAATAATACTCTGGAATTTGCCTAACTTTTGTTGGACGCCTTTTCTTTAAAATGTTTATAGAGCTGGGATCTTTCTGCATATCGCCACCCACGGCCTTCCAATCGACTCCCTTGAAAGGGTCTTTTGCCTCTTCTGCCATAGCTGTCTGTCGATTGCCTCTAACTCCAATCTGATACGCTTCAAACCAAAACCAAAAAGAATAAAGGTTCAAATTAATTGTTTTTGCATAAGAAGATGATTCACTGAAAGTATGAAATGTGCAAAATGAAGGATAGGAAAGCCTCAGCCTCAGCCTGGCTAAAAGAATAGATTTACAAGAAAACTTTCGAACTGGCTCAAAGAGAAAGCCTCAGCCTCAGCCTGGCTAAAAGAATAGATTTACAAGAAAACTTTCGAACTGGCTCAAAGAGAAGATAACCTATAGTATGAAAAAGGGTTGGATAATCTGCACCTAAGTAGAGGCATAAGAAACCAATATGCTCCCGGAAGAATTCTATTGTTCCTTCCCAACTAAAAATTCCAAAGAAAAGCCCTTAATTATTCCAAATAAGTCTAGCTTCAGCATTGGGAGGGTGATCATGGAAGCCCAAAGAAAAGCCCTTAATTATTCCAAATAAGTCTAGCTTCAGCATTGGGAGGGTGATCATGGAAGCAAAGTGGAGAATATTCATTTAATAATATTACTGGGAAGAAAAAAGTAACAAACGACGGTAATGCCGGAAAAGCAATGCTACTGAACAGAGGATGGAAAGGCAATCCTGAGTTTTTTCGCCAGTGGTTGCCTCACTCGCAGCATAGAATTCAAGCACATTCTTCAGTTTTGATTTGATTACAGATCTTTAGCATAGCATTTAACCCAATTTCTAGATTTTACTTAATCAACCCAAGTCCAATTCTACGACTAAAAAACAAAAAATTAAACAAAACTTAATTCATCACATAAACTAAACACAGCACATAAATTATAACCAAGAAAAGCAGGAAGAAAATGGAGATGACATAATGTAAATCGAAGAAATCGAGGAACGGGGCGACAGCAGAAACTAGAAATGGAAGTGAATGTCGAGAGCGTAAATCAAAAGAAATCGAGGAACGGGGCGACAGCAGAAACTAGAAATGGAAGTGAATGTCGAGAGCGTAAATCAAAGAAATGGAAGAATCGGAAAACTAATGAAAACTTCAATCATACCAGTCCGAGGGAGATAAGCGAAAGAATCGAAAGCGGCCGGAAAAACTAATGAAAACTTCAATCATACCAGTCCGAGGGAGATAAGCGAAAGAATCGAAAGCGGCCGGAATTGACGTTGTGCGACGCCGTGAGGGCGGTGGTCCAGTATTAAGCAATGAGAGATGAAGATTGATTTTGAGAGAGTTGGGGAAAGGCACAGATTCACGATGAGCAAATTAGGGCAAACTCTTTTTTTTAATTAAAAAAACCACCCAAATTATGAGTCTTATTTCAATAATAAACTGAAAA